CTGAGCTATCAGAGCCGCGACTGATCTCCTGTGAGACAGATGCACTTAAAACTGACTGGCTACTGGGTAGTGACTACAAGTCCCCTCTGCATTGCAGGCGAATCTCGCTGGCGAGTCCCAGATGGAACGAGACCCATTTGCCGACTAAGTCCAACAGCCGCATTACATTTCGACATAGTGCGCACTATGTGGTAACACTGCAACTCGATCTATAGAATTCGATCTGCACTAAAGGTCTGACATTAGTCACTACCCAGTGATCAATCAATTGTGAAGAACTGAGTGGATTTGTACGTAATGATTTCTACACAGACTCCAGCGGAAATATAAGATTCTACAGTCAGCTGGGACATAGGCTTATTCAGGTTGTCTTCGTAACGAATGTCTATCTTGACTATTCATCTTCATCATAGTGATCATTCAACCTACTTGGGTCAGGAGCATTAGTAGACAAAGTACGACAATAAGGACGAGAAACTTCACGTGCTAAAGTCTCTCACACTTCACAAAGGCGACGATGTTTAGTGTGTTTTGCGAATATTTATTGTAGCTTAATATTCACCGAAAGATACACACATCTGGAAAGCGATTGTAAGGCGGATCACCCTAAGACAGTTTTAGGCCCTTTATTGTTTCTTAGTCATAAATAAAAGGCAGCGGCAATAGGTAACAGCAGGCAACTGTTCAGACTTGTTAAGGAAACCGGTATTAGGAACCCAACTGTTAGCGAAACAATCGCAGAGAAAGATGGACATATTATTCATTCTCAATCCAGGAGATTGGACCGATGGGCAGAATACTTTAGGGATCAGTTCAACTGGCCTTCAGCCACACTTCGGTTTCCCACGATCTCCAGTCGACCTGAATGGCAAGTTGATGTAAGTCCTCCGACTCTTTACGAAGTTGAAAAAGCTATAGGTAATCTAAAGCGTGGGAGAGCAGCAGGCCCTGACAGGTTTACCCCTGAGATTTTTAAGGATGGCGGTCCAGTATTAGCAGCGAGATTGACTGAGGTCTTAGGTAGAATCTGGGAACTGGACGTAATCCCATCTGACTGGTCTCAATCACTGATTGTACCAGTCTATAAGAAAGGACAAAAGTCCTCCTGTGACAATCACAGAGGAATTAGTTTGACTAATATAGTGTCTAAAATATTAGCTTCAATAATACTTCGACGTTTAACCAAAGCTCGTGAAGAGCAGACTAGAGAAGACCAGGCTGGTTTTCGACCTGGACGTGGTTGTATTGATCAAATATTCACATTACGTCAGGTCCTAGAACATAGACACACATTCAGACGCCCCACAATGGTAGTATTTCTCGACCTTAAGGCGGCATTTGACTCTGTTGATCGTGAGGTTCTATGGCAGTGTTTGTCACTGAAGGGAGTACCAAAGAAGTACGTCAACCTTATAAAGGCTCTCTACTCGAACACAACTGGTCGAGTGAGAGCTTATGGTGAACTGTCATCAGAATTGATTACCTCAAGTGGTGTTCGTCAGGGCGGTCCACTCTCTCCATTCTTGTTTAACTTTGTCGCTGACGTCCTTTTAGAGATGACACTTTCCTCATCTAAATTTCCAGGAGTTGAACTTCTACCGGGAGATCCACTTGTTCACTTAGAATATGCCGATGACATAGTTCTATTTGGTGAAGACGCTGACAGAATGCAGAGTCTACTGACCACTCTAAGCAACAATGCAAGCATGTTCGGCATGCGATTTTCTCCCTCGAAATGCAAAATGATGCTTCAGGATTGGGTTGCGTCGACACCCGAACTAGTGATAGGGAGTGAAGTAGTTGAGCGTGTCGACCGCTCCACTTATCTCGGAAGTCTCATCAGCCCTTGTGGTTTGGTGTGTGACGAAATTTCAGCACGGATACAAAAGGCTCGACTAGCTTTTGCCAACTTGCGTCATTTGTGGCGTAGGCGAGATATCCGTCTATCAACCAAAGGACGTGTTTACTGCGCAGCAGTTCGTTCCGTCCTACTTTATGGCAGTGAAACATGGCCGGTAAGAGTAGAGGATATTCGTAGGTTACTAGTATTCGACCATAGATGTCTTCGAAACATTGCTCGTATATCCTGGGACCACCGAGTAAGTAACTCAGTTGTTTGGAAACGGGTACTAGCTAAGGATGGCAAATCAATTGAGGAAGTAGTGAAACTTAATCAGTTGAGATGGCTGGGACATGTGCTGCGGATGCCCGACCACCGACTGCCCCGACGTGCTATGTTTTATGGTGTAGGAGTAGGTTGGAAGAAAGCTAGGGGTGGCCAGACCAGAACATGGCACAAATCCATGAAGTCACTGACAAGTGGACTGAGTCATGTTGGTAGGTGTAGACTACCTGGTTGGGGACCGCGAGACGATAGCAACCGATGGTTAGAGACCTTGAATGACACGGCTCAAAATCGTTTGCAATGGCGCAGGTGCATCCACTCTTTGTGTTCTCTCAAACTCTAATCTTCTGAATTCTTCATGTCCTTCATTTTCTTTCCCAATTTATTCCACTGGACTATACTCCTTTAATAACATCATCAAACCTTCATTTCCCCTATCTCTACTCATACTTTCACTACCTATACCACTATGGGATTTGAATCGATAACTGAATCTCTGTGCTAATGTGGTATGGCAACTCGAACTGATGTACGTACGTACGAAGTTCCACGTTGTTACTGACTGACTGACAATATACAGAAGTAGTAGTTGACCCTTACCCAATAATTTATATCTTCCAAAAAACGAGAGAAATCGAAAGGAGACAAAGAGAAGGAAGTAATCTTTTCACGAAGATTTTTGATCTGCCGGTAAAACAAATTCAAGTTAATAGCGTTTCCCCCTGTCATTTAAACGTACCAACGTGTATTTGAGTAAAATATATCACATGGAACAGATATACTATAAGGATAAAACAAAAATAACCGTTCGATAAATAGAAATCCACGCATTCCAGACAGACATAATCGGGAACGTCATTCGAACGAGAACTTTTAGATCAATTTTTAGATCTACTATAACTGAATAAGAACAACGCACAATACTGAATCTTTTCAGTTTGGAAAGATTTAAGGCACTTTTTACCGTAACCGCACAAATTATACTGCCTATCATAATGGCAAAAGCCTGACTGACGCTAACGCACCTCAGTTGTAAGGGCACGAGTAGATATTTATGCTTGGGTGAGTTTTACACAAGTTCTCAAATGCCACATGAGGGAAATATGGATGGCTCATTTTCGCTAGACACCCCCCATTAGATAGACTCAAGCAAGCTTCAAGGTGTGAATCAATAGTGCAATACAAATCTATCATATTTATACCAGTTAGAAATTTATCTATTTTAACACATAGGTATTGGTACAGGGAGGCACCAAATACATATGCGCCACACGAATCTCAATTGATTTGTGTGAGGGCTGTGATACTGCCCGGGTGCCCAAACAGAAGCAGGTGGTTTTCTTAGGGGGTCGCACTCCGAGCCTTCGACCTGAACGTCTGACCCACAAGGCAGTGGGGCATCGTAAGGAGATGCAGTCCCATGGTAGCCGGTGACCAACCAGTTGGAAAGTAAACTCGTGATATGAAATCGACCATAAGTACACTGAAATCGTATCTTCTTGTTTGACCATACAATTATTTGTGAGCAAGAACTTCCATATCCTGTACACCACAGTACAATTCATGTAGGCTGAACCAGAAATCTTAACGTGTTTACCCTCACCCATTCAGATTTTGCTTAGCTACTAAATAATCGGATGAGTTCGTCTTATTCTGTCTTGACTCCCCCCTTTTTGAAGTCAATTAAGTGCTCATAGACTTTCTATTCTTACGACCTACTTTTTGTGACAAATTGCACCAAAACACTCAGAAGGGATAACAATGTCTCCATTATCTAGCTTTTGTTGTAAGCTCTTATTGTAGCAGTACATTTTTAAAGCACTGATTTCTTGCAGAACTTTAGTACCGTCTCAGAAACGTACACAATCACTGAAATTTGGAGTACCATCATCTTACGTCCAGTAGCAAAACTGCTGAATTTACGGAAATTCTCCGAAGTAGGACATTCCGGTAGCGCAACTAGAACGACACACATCAGAAGCGAGATGACGAACAATTAGGCGACTAAGCATACCAATAAATTAAACATATCCTTGCTTATCGGCAAATAACTGTACAGACGCAATGTAAAACCACAAAAACAAGGTGACTACAGAACACCAGCCTTAGTAAGCACCACCTCATGACATGTAAATTTACTCACAACTGATACGTGTCGACGACTTCGAAAAAGCTCCAGGCGCTTGCGTCCATGTGACCAAACACGATAGTCGCTTGGAGCACGTAACCTCAGAAAATAAGGATTTAACACGCATAAAAGCTGACAACTAGCACTCAGTAAATGTACAAAAACACCCACAAGTTAGTGAGAGACTCAATCTGCGTTTTTGACTTACGAGTTCAATAAACTAAAACATAATTGGACATGAAAAACTACATAGCCTATGTTGGATCCGACCTTTTATACTTTGGCTGATCAACCATATTCAAGGGGGTGCATTTAACTTGTTAACCAGTAAAATTGGCATTTATCTTTAGAAATATACATTAACCCTTATTTCGATAAAACAACAAAGTGCCAAGGTACAAACGAATTTATCACAACTACATAAAAAAAGAAAACAATTCATTCAGATTATGCATTGATTCAATTGACATACGACGCTATGCGCCAATAAAATGTACAAGCTCACTGGAGCGAAGGGGGAAGTGTACAGGGAGAATGAAAGGGGGTGGCCGTGAAGGCTCCTATGTACAACTGAAGCGCAGAAGCGCAATAATAATAAGCTTTACAAAAGCTACAAGATCATACCACTGGGATTGCAAATAAACTGTTCACAAAAGATATAATGAGGTAATACTTGAGAAGAGTTTAGTTAAATGCTAACAATGAACTATAAAAAAAGACAACTTCCATATTGCAAAGTTCGAAAGATTAAGTTGGAAGCTGAAAGATCTGTGTTGGGCTCACTCCATTTGTAACATGCAACTGAGGACCAGGAACTTTTGAATCCCTAGACCCACAGTCACGAGTTAGACAGCGTACTTTAGGTGGTGGCAAGACTGAAGGATCCGTCAGCAACATCCTATTGTCCGTCGAAGAAAGGCCGTTACCATTAGAATTACTGAAAGAAACATCAACACTAGGGGACTTGGGAAACTCAGAAGGCTGAAGTGTAACACCGTATGGCCTTGCCAGCTTTCGCCAGAGGCGATGAGTTGATACCAAACTATTGCTAGGCTTCGGCACCAATATCGCCTGGGAGGCTTGACACATATTTGGATTCGTGATGGGAATCTATATACGTATGAAGCAAGCCCAAAGAAATTGTTAAGGTCTTAGCCATCGTCAATGTAAAACCAATTAATAACTTATATCATAATTTGTCACAATATCTGATAATTTAGATAGAACAAATGAATAATCGTCAAAGCAGTTACATCGCATGACTGACTAAAATTATACTGAGTAAACACCATATGACAATACCTCTCAAAATCAGAAGGATAGAACCTTCAAAAAGCCAAAAATGGGTACAAATAAAAAAGGCTCACCATAACCGCGGGCGATACATTAACTGATTTCTTTGGCGTTAGATCGTTCTGATGGTGCAAGGGAGAATGTTTTTCCTGAATCAACAAACCATCATTCGAAACATCATTTAACTCACGTCCCGCATCCAGAGCAACTTCATCTACGGTCACATCATCCGGATGCTTCCTCGAAGTTGTTGGACAATCCGTCTTCGAGTAGAAAATAGGAGAGGAACGATGATCCGTGGAACCTTTAGATTCAATAAGTAGAGGTTCAAAGGGTATTGGTGGGAAGATAGTTTCAGAAACAGGCCATGAGAATGAAGGACGCCCACGGTGCGAACTGAAAATAGAAGTCTTTAGTCTATTAAACAAAGCAACATCTTTTGTTTGTGACTGTCGCCAGCAAAAGTTTGAAGGTATAAGACTTGGACTGACTGGACCACTAGATCTCAAATTTGCATCATAGGACTGGAGATAAGTAGAAAGTGGCGTGGGGGCTGCAACGCGATCACATATTATTCGACCACCACGACCAAGACGACGCCTTATGTAGCCGGTGTAGGTAAGATGCTTTGTATGACACAGTCGTGGAATTGTTGCTAATGTATAGCAGGAATAAGGTGAGCGGGAAAGATGGGGACTGGAAAGTGTGGGACGCTCTTCTAGCAATGACCTAAGGAAATAAACACGAATACATAAACCTTACATGAATACGAGATAAATGAAGGATAGTTGAATACGCCAACTTATCAAGTGCTAAGTCCGGACAATTACAGTTTCTCTAATAGTCGTTAAACGAGTACAAGAGCACCAATGTTTATGCCGAAAGAATTGAATACGGACAAAAACCCATACAAGTCCTGACTAGTAGCTACGCCTATAGTGAAACGCCGTTTACGAAGTGATAACCAACAGCCTCACTAAAAATTAGCTCAAATTGGCCATGAATAACTGCTCAAGCCAGACCAGTTTTCACGCAAATGCTGCAGCTAACTCCACACGGCAGGATACCTCATTCCGTATTAGCTATGTATCCTAAACTCCACCAAACTCGTGGTGGCAATCACTGGGTGATTGATCTGTACGAGTGACAAGGTATTGGTGGGAGTAAGCCTCTAGAAAGTTCACCTGTTAAATACAATAGGCAATGAGCATGTCACTTATTTCACCAAAGACGGAGCCATTATCAGGAGGTCGTGTTTTAACTGGAGAAGCATGGCAAAATCAGAAACGTCAACACGATAGCGACCGGCCTATCTGAACAAAAGCTTAGAAACTCAGTCACTAGTGAAAACGAAATCACGGTAACTTGTAATTCCGAGTTGAGTGACAATTATTCGAATGCTTTTAGCTAGTTATTCGCATTATCCCAACCCATGAAATTCGCTTGCTTGTGATACATTGTTCCCCTGTTTGATTCCATAACTATCTAACGAAACCATGCGACTGAGACCATGTTCAAATGTGTCTTGGGAGACTTTCTTTTACGCACACAGATGTTTGGTATTTTGGATACAGTAAGGGTCTATACATGCTTGTTGTAGAATAGCCATGTCCACCAACTCAAAAAAATTATTCGTACAACATAAAATTGGTTTCGGTGATAAATACCTAGTGGAAATCCCACTGCGAGGGTCTGTGATTACTTAGGATTTTACCAGAACTATTCAAGGTAAATAAATAAGAACGGTGAATTAAAATCTTATATTAAACAATAGACCTTTCCGCATCTATTATTTGCATTATTGCAAGCACTATGTACAATAATTTGAGCAACCATTGGTCCACGATTGGAAACATTGAAAGACATATTGCACCTTTAAAGTATAAATCAGGAAGTTTTCGTCATGTACAGATGGAATCCGTGGTTAGTGGTATTGTGCCATCCCACATTACAGACGTCTTACTTAGGCTACTTATGAAAAGCTGTAGAAAAACGGACAGTGAGTATAACTCAACAAATAGACAAAAGTTTAGTATAGAAACACAGTAGGTCCGCTGGTTAACTATATACCTTGGCTTCAAATATCGGCAACCAGGAGTTCTAACAAAAGAGAATGGTCCACTTTGATCATCGTCATTGTCAGAAGCCTCGTCGGAACTTGTGGGGTTTGGAAGATTGCTGAACCTCTTGACCAGTTTGCGCTTGCGATTAGGACGCCTTTTGTTGTCCTAAAAGTAATAAAATTCTTAGACAGGTGACTTACTTTCAAAGACTTCATAGCTACTACACTTTCATCCTCGTGATGGTTCCGCACTAAAGCTTCGGCTTCTACGAGACTTGAACCTTCCCAGTCGCATAGCTTGCATCTTAGCTGAAAGCATCTGTAGTCACAGTTAACAATTGCTTCCTTTGTAGCTTCACGTTTGACAAGTCGACCGAGTATCTCCCTAAGAAAATGAATTAGAATAAACGTTTTCAAACCCTAAAGAATCCATTTGTTCTCGCAAGATCAACATCCTTTCGTACGACTGCTCATCACTTTTTCGGTTTTTACGGGTTTGCATCTTTTCACTCCGTCTTCGGAACGCCACATATGGATCCGTGTTACTACCACCATCACGTCGCTCTTGTCGAACAGCGTAAAGGAGAGGTTGCCTTGACTGAACACGCTTATTAAGCCAATAATCATACACAGCGATAACTAGGGATGGGTGGTCTTGAAGAAGGTACTTAGCTTCTTCCAAATTCATTACCTATAAGCAATGAACTAGGGGAAGTATATATACCTTTTGACCACAACCACGCTCAAGGCGGTCGATCATAGACTCAAATTTTTCAGGAGTAATACCCAGACCACTTTTTTGGAACCACTCTTCATCCTCACTATCCATATCATATTCAATTGGTTCCTCTTCCGAGAACACGATTGCTTCACAGAAAATGTTACATCAATGCACAACTTACTTCTGATATGTAAGAGCTGTTTTGGTAGACTAAAGCTGTCTGGATAAACCCTTTTATAATCATTCTCTTTGTCAATTATCTCGGGGACAGGTATTTTAACATCTGAGTCTGTACGGAGTTGCAAGGCCTGAATAACCTCCAGAAAGTGATGTTCCTGGTAGGGAAAGTTAAAAAACGACATTAGTTCACGAACCACTTCTCCTAATAATCAAGTAAGCAATCCAAAATTAGAGACACAAGGACAATAACATACATCGTATTACTACATAAAAGCCTAAATTTTATTACATTTTCCTCCTCTTTCTCCATCCCGCTGGGAATCTGTGGAACGCCACGATTGACCAGTGCATTTTCACTGATTTCAAGGAATAATTCAGAACCATGCTTCAGAATAGGCAAGGGTTTGTTAAAATCTATTTGTCGAGCACGAAATGAGACTTTGCTCATAGCTGAAAGCAAGAACAAGAAAAGCAAGCTCATTGATAACAAGTGAACAAAGTTCCTATGATAACGAAAGCTCAAGATAAACGAAAAATTAAGTATGTACATTGATTTACAATTTCATATTAAGGATATCATAACTCAATAACCTTAATTATTTTAATCTTTTGGCCCCACTCCAATATGGCGCGGGGTCATTTAAGTGAAATCCAGTATGGCGGTGCAATCGTCTGCAAATGGCCGACAAAATGGAGGAAAACATATATCATTGACCAATTATAACAACTTCGTAAATTCTTCAAGACAGTTTCTGTTTTGCTGCCTATTATTATGAACAAAAACTTTCCCTTTTTGAATCGTATTCATATATTTTTTAAGAGTATGCTTACTCCCACCAATACCTTGTCACTCGTACAGATCAATCACCCAGTGATTGCCACCACGAGTTTGGTGGAGTTTAGGATACATAGCTAATACGGAATGAGGTATCCTGCCGTGTGGAGTTAGCTGCAGCATTTGCGTGAAAACTGGTCTGGCTTGAGCAGTTATTCATGGCCAATTTGAGCTAATTTTTAGTGAGGCTGTTGGTTATCACTTCGTAAACGGCGTTTCACTATAGGCGTAGCTACTAGTCAGGACTTGTATGGGTTTTTGTCCGTATTCAATTCTTTCGGCATAAACATTGGTGCTCTTGTACTCGTTTAACGACTATTAGAGAAACTGTAATTGTCCGGACTTAGCACTTGATAAGTTGGCGTATTCAACTATCCATCATTTATCTCGTATTCATGTAAGGTTTATGTATTCGTGTTTATTTCCTTAGGTCATTGCTAGAAGAGCGTCCCACACTTTCCAGTCCCCATCTTTCCCGCTCACCTTATTCCTGCTATACATTAGCAACAATTCCACGACTGTGTCATACAAAGCATCTTACCTACACCGGCTACATAAGGCGTCGTCTTGGTCGTGGTGGTCGAATAATATGTGATCGCGTTGCAGCCCCCACGCCACTTTCTACTTATCTCCAGTCCTATGATGCAAATTTGAGATCTAGTGGTCCAGTCAGTCCAAGTCTTATACCTTCAAACTTTTGCTGGCGACAGTCACAAACAAAAGATGTTGCTTTGTTTAATAGACTAAAGACTTCTATTTTCAGTTCGCACCGTGGGCGTCCTTCATTCTCATGGCCTGTTTCTGAAACTATCTTCCCACCAATACCCTTTGAACCTCTACTTATTGAATCTAAAGGTTCCACGGATCATCGTTCCTCTCCTATTTTCTACTCGAAGACGGATTGTCCAACAACTTCGAGGAAGCATCCGGATGATGTGACCGTAGATGAAGTTGCTCTGGATGCGGGACGTGAGTTAAATGATGTTTCGAATGATGGTTTGTTGATTCAGGAAAAACATTCTCCCTTGCACCATCAGAACGATCTAACGCCAAAGAAATCAGTTAATGTATCGCCCGCGGTTATGGTGAGCCTTTTTTATTTGTACCCATTTTTGGCTTTTTGAAGGTTCTATCCTTCTGATTTTGAGAGGTATTGTCATATGGTGTTTACTCAGTATAATTTTAGTCAGTCATGCGATGTAACTGCTTTGACGATTATTCATTTGTTCTATCTAAATTATCAGATATTGTGACAAATTATGATATAAGTTATTAATTGGTTTTACATTGACGATGGCTAAGACCTTAACAATTTCTTTGGGCTTGCTTCATACGTATATAGATTCCCATCACGAATCCAAATATGTGTCAAGCCTCCCAGGCGATATTGGTGCCGAAGCCTAGCAATAGTTTGGTATCAACTCATCGCCTCTGGCGAAAGCTGGCAAGGCCATACGGTGTTACACTTCAGCCTTCTGAGTTTCCCAAGTCCCCTAGTGTTGATGTTTCTTTCAGTAATTCTAATGGTAACGGCCTTTCTTCGACGGACAATAGGATGTTGCTGACGGATCCTTCAGTCTTGCCACCACCTAAAGTACGCTGTCTAACTCGTGACTGTGGGTCTAGGGATTCAAAAGTTCCTGGTCCTCAGTTGCATGTTACAAATGGAGTGAGCCCAACACAGATCTTTCAGCTTCCAACTTAATCTTTCGAACTTTGCAATATGGAAGTTGTCTTTTTTTATAGTTCATTGTTAGCATTTAACTAAACTCTTCTCAAGTATTACCTCATTATATCTTTTGTGAACAGTTTATTTGCAATCCCAGTGGTATGATCTTGTAGCTTTTGTAAAGCTTATTATTATTGCGCTTCTGCGCTTCAGTTGTACATAGGAGCCTTCACGGCCACCCCCTTTCATTCTCCCTGTACACTTCCCCCTTCGCTCCAGTGAGCTTGTACATTTTATTGGCGCATAGCGTCGTATGTCAATTGAATCAATGCATAATCTGAATGAATTGTTTTCTTTTTTTATGTAGTTGTGATAAATTCGTTTGTACCTTGGCACTTTGTTGTTTTATCGAAATAAGGGTTAATGTATATTTCTAAAGATAAATGCCAATTTTACTGGTTAACAAGTTAAATGCACCCCCTTGAATATGGTTGATCAGCCAAAGTATAAAAGGTCGGATCCAACATAGGCTATGTAGTTTTTCATGTCCAATTATGTTTTAGTTTATTGAACTCGTAAGTCAAAAACGCAGATTGAGTCTCTCACTAACTTGTGGGTGTTTTTGTACATTTACTGAGTGCTAGTTGTCAGCTTTTATGCGTGTTAAATCCTTATTTTCTGAGGTTACGTGCTCCAAGCGACTATCGTGTTTGGTCACATGGACGCAAGCGCCTGGAGCTTTTTCGAAGTCGTCGACACGTATCAGTTGTGAGTAAATTTACATGTCATGAGGTGGTGCTTACTAAGGCTGGTGTTCTGTAGTCACCTTGTTTTTGTGGTTTTACATTGCGTCTGTACAGTTATTTGCCGATAAGCAAGGATATGTTTAATTTATTGGTATGCTTAGTCGCCTAATTGTTCGTCATCTCGCTTCTGATGTGTGTCGTTCTAGTTGCGCTACCGGAATGTCCTACTTCGGAGAATTTCCGTAAATTCAGCAGTTTTGCTACTGGACGTAAGATGATGGTACTCCAAATTTCAGTGATTGTGTACGTTTCTGAGACGGTACTAAAGTTCTGCAAGAAATCAGTGCTTTAAAAATGTACTGCTACAATAAGAGCTTACAACAAAAGCTAGATAATGGAGACATTGTTATCCCTTCTGAGTGTTTTGGTGCAATTTGTCACAAAAAGTAGGTCGTAAGAATAGAAAGTCTATGAGCACTTAATTGACTTCAAAAAGGGGGGAGTCAAGACAGAATAAGACGAACTCATCCGATTATTTAGTAGCTAAGCAAAATCTGAATGGGTGAGGGTAAACACGTTAAGATTTCTGGTTCAGTCTACATGAATTGTACTGTGGTGTACAGGATATGGAAGTTCTTGCTCACAAATAATTGTATGGTCAAACAAGAAGATACGATTTCAGTGTACTTATGGTCGATTTCATATCACGAGTTTACTTTCCAACTGGTTGGTCACCGGCTACCATGGGACTGCATCTCCTTACGATGCCCCACTGCCTTGTGGGTCAGACGTTCAGGTCGAAGGCTCGGAGTGCGACCCCCTAAGAAAACCACCTGCTTCTGTTTGGGCACCCGGGCAGTATCACAGCCCTCACACAAATCAATTGAGATTCGTGTGGCGCATATGTATTTGGTGCCTCCCTGTACCAATACCTATGTGTTAAAATAGATAAATTTCTAACTGGTATAAATATGATAGATTTGTATTGCACTATTGATTCACACCTTGAAGCTTGCTTGAGTCTATCTAATGGGGGGTGTCTAGCGAAAATGAGCCATCCATATTTCCCTCATGTGGCATTTGAGAACTTGTGTAAAACTCACCCAAGCATAAATATCTACTCGTGCCCTTACAACTGAGGTGCGTTAGCGTCAGTCAGGCTTTTGCCATTATGATAGGCAGTATAATTTGTGCGGTTACGGTAAAAAGTGCCTTAAATCTTTCCAAACTGAAAAGATTCAGTATTGTGCGTTGTTCTTATTCAGTTATAGTAGATCTAAAAATTGATCTAAAAGTTCTCGTTCGAATGACGTTCCCGATTATGTCTGTCTGGAATGCGTGGATTTCTATTTATCGAACGGTTATTTTTGTTTTATCCTTATAGTATATCTGTTCCATGTGATATATTTTACTCAAATACACGTTGGTACGTTTAAATGACAGGGGGAAACGCTATTAACTTGAATTTGTTTTACCGGCAGATCAAAAATCTTCGTGAAAAGATTACTTCCTTCTCTTTGTCTCCTTTCGATTTCTCTCGTTTTTTGGAAGATATAAATTATTGGGTAAGGGTCAACTACTACTTCTGTATATTGTCAGTCAGTCAGTAACAACGTGGAACTTCGTACGTACGTACATCAGTTCGAGTTGCCATACCACATTAGCACAGAGATTCAGTTATCGATTCAAATCCCATAGTGGTATAGGTAGTGAAAGTATGAGTAGAGATAGGGGAAATGAAGGTTTGATGATGTTATTAAAGGAGTATAGTCCAGTGGAATAAATTGGGAAAGAAAATGAAGGACATGAAGAATTCAGAAGATTAGAGTTTGAGAGAACACAAAGAGTGGATGCACCTGCGCCATTGCAAACGATTTTGAGCCGTGTCATTCAAGGTCTCTAACCATCGGTTGCTATCGTCTCGCGGTCCCCAACCAGGTAGTCTACACCTACCAACATGACTCAGTCCACTTGTCAGTGACTTCATGGATTTGTGCCATGTTCTGGTCTGGCCACCCCTAGCTTTCTTCCAACCTACTCCTACACCATAAAACATAGCACGTCGGGGCAGTCGGTGGTCGGGCATCCGCAGCACATGTCCCAGCCATCTCAACTGATTAAGTTTCACTACTTCCTCAATTGATTTGCCATCCTTAGCTAGTACCCGTTTCATAACAACTGCATTACTTACTCGATGGTCCCAGGATATACGAGCGATGTTTCGAAGACATCTATGGTCGAATACTAGTAACCTACGAATATCCTCTACTCTTACCGGCCATGTTTCACTGCCATAAAGTAGGACGGAACGAACTGCTGCGCAGTAAACACGTCCTTTGGTTGATAGACGGATATCTCGCCTACGCCACAAATGACGCAAGTTGGCAAAAGCTAGTCGAGCCTTTTGTATCCGTGCTGAAATTTCGTCACACACCAAACCACAAGGGCTGATGAGACTTCCGAGATAAGTGGAGCGGTCGACACGCTCAACTACTTCACTCCCTATCACTAGTTCGGGTGTCGACGCAACCCAATCCTGAAGCATCATTTTGCATTTCGAGGGAGAAAATCGCATGCCGAACATGCTTGCATTGTTGCTTAGAGTGGTCAGTAGACTCTGCATTCTGTCAGCGTCTTCACCAAATAGAACTATGTCATCGGCATATTCTAAGTGAACAAGTGGATCTCCCGGTAGAAGTTCAACTCCTGGAAATTTAGATGAGGAAAGTGTCATCTCTAAAAGGACGTCAGCGACAAAGTTAAACAAGAATGGAGAGAGTGGACCGCCCTGACGAACACCACTTGAGGTAATCAATTCTGATGACAGTTCACCATAAGCTCTCACTCGACCAGTTGTGTTCGAGTAGAGAGCCTTTATAAGGTTGACGTACTTCTTTGGTACTCCCTTCAGTGACAAACACTGCCATAGAACCTCACGATCAACAGAGTCAAATGCCGCCTTAAGGTCGAGAAATACTACCATTGTGGGGCGTCTGAATGTGTGTCTATGTTCTAGGACCTGACGTAATGTGAATATTTGATCAATACAACCACGTCCAGGTCGAAAACCAGCCTGGTCTTCTCTAGTCTGCTCTTCACGAGCTTTGGTTAGACGTCGAAGTATTATTGAAGCTAATATTTTAGACACTATATTAGTCAAACTAATTCCTCTGTGATTGTCACAGGAGGACTTTTGTCCTTTCTTATAGACTGGTACAATCAGTGATTGAGACCAGTCAGATGGGATTACGTCCAGTTCCCAGATTCTACCTAAGACCTCAGTCAATCTCGCTGCTAATACTGGACCGCCATCCTTAAAAATCTCAGGGGTAAACCTGTCAGGGCCTGCTGCTCTCCCACGCTTTAGATTACCTATAGCTTTTTCAACTTCGTAAGGAGTCGGAGGACTTACATCAACTTGCCATTCAGGTCGACTGGAGATCGTGGGAAACCGAAGTGTGGCTGAAGGCCAGTTGAACTGATCCCTAAAGTATTCTGCCCATCGGTCCAATCTCCTGGATTGAGAATGAATAATATGTCCATCTTTCTCTGCGATTGTTTCGCTAACAGTTGGGTTCCTAATACCGGTTTCCTTAACAAGTCTGAACAGTTGCCTGCTGTTACCTATTGCCGCTGCCTTTTATTTATGACTAAGAAACAATAAAGGGCCTAAAACTGTCTTAGGGTGATCCGCCTTACAATCGCTTTCCAGATGTGTGTATCTTTCGGTGAATATTAAGCTACAATAAATATTCGCAAAACACACTAAACATCGTCGCCTTTGTGAAGTGTGAGAGACTTTAGCACGTGAAGTTTCTCGTCCTTATTGTCGTACTTTGTCTACTAATGCTCCTGACCCAAGTAGGTTGAATGATCACTATGATGAAGATGAATAGTCAAGATAGACATTCGTTACGAAGACAACCTGAATAAGCCTATGTCCCAGCTGACTGTAGAATCTTATATTTCCGCTGGAGTCTGTGTAGAAATCATTACGTACAAATCCACTCAGTTCTTCACAATTGATTGATCACTGGGTAGTGACTAATGTCAGACCTTTAGTGCAGATCGAATTCTATAGATCGAGTTGCAGTGTTACCACATAGTGCGCACTATGTCGAAATGTAATGCGGCTGTTGGACTTAGTCGGCAAATGGGTCTCGTTCCATCTGGGACTCGCCAGCGAGATTCGCCTGCAATGCAGAGGGGACTTGTAGTCACTACCCAGTAGCCAGTCAGTTTTAAGTGCATCTGTCTCACAGGAGATCAGTCGCGGCTCTGATAGCTCAGTGGTAATGTCCCTGACTGTGAAGCTGAGTGGCACGATATGGAATTCTACAGGAAGCATCAGTTTCCTCAAGATTGCAGACACACCTTGCTGAAGGGCGTCAGGCAAGATGAAATCTAGGTCCAGAGTTTCCTATCCATTATCTTCAACCACCACCGTGATTAGTTCTTCATTTGAACCATATGGATTGTTATAACGTGGCAATCCTTAAATAATAACAAGACAATCAATATCTTACCATTGTACGCGGCTATTACACACTATCGGTAAGTATTCATAGGTAGACTTAGATAACATTCGAAACCTTAGTAAATTAACAAGCGCCATTTGCATGTTACACATTGATAAGTATTAACTGGATATTAAGAGCCATTATGAACCAAAATGCCTGGATGAAGGATGTTCTTTTAAACACGTTGTCATCAGGTTCTACAGTTATAAAACCGAATTAACGTTCTAAAGAGTATATCGAAGTTTGAGATAAACATGTTACTTCAAATTAATTTATGAAATTTAGGATTGTTGGGGAATAAAGTGAAGTTAAGAATGTTGTTATTGGAGTCAACACTTTGTAATCTTACATGAAGCAGCTTGTAAGTCAACTGAAACTATAAGATTAATGGTTGA